ATCGTCTCTCCAAAAACTGCAAAACCATTAATTTGAGAGTATCCATAACAGTACAGGTAACCAATATTACAAGTTTACAAAGATATTGTCAATGAGATCTGACAAAACCAACAAAAAAATCAACCAATTTCGGTGAAGTACGAGCGTCACATAACAAATCACCAATGTAAAATAATCACTAAGAAATTAATCTTACCTCTCGAGTTGAAATTTCAGGAGGTCAACTGAGGCAGGCGGCGGCAGGACTCAAGGTGTGGTCGTGGATGCAGGCTGCGTGAAATGGAGGCCATCAAGAATAAGAATTTTCTGCATGAGGCTGTGAGGATGGAGGCGCTGCGTGTCGCCGGGATCTCCGGAGAAAGAAAGTTCCGGCGAGGGGTGACGGCCAAACCAAACCCTTTTAACATGGGTATGAGTGTTGGGCTAATATGGCTAAGTTAACATGGGTGAAGCCCATTAAATACCAAACTGCGTCAGGCTGTTTAGGCTGTTCAGTTTTGTAGAGATTTTATATATTACGTGCTTTCACCTACAGATTTTTCATTTATTATAGATATATTAATTTCACGTTTTTAAATGGTGCTTTGTGATTTATTTTTATTACTAATTTTATTTTTTATTTTTTATTTTTTTATTTATGTCTCTTAAATATTGACCTTTCAAGAAAAAGCCTTTTAATATTTACAACTCAAAAATTAACTAATACACCTCCATCCTCTTAAATTTATTTTTTCTTTTGATACCTTTTTCGCCCTTGCAAATTTGTATATACACCTACCTTGTTTTTCTTCATTCTCCTTTGAGGATTGTGATTTTTGCTTAGGTGATAGTTGGGTTTCTTTCGTCATATGATCAAATTTGAAGAAAAATGTCTAGTTTTCTCTTAAAAAGTTTTATGAAATAACTTAAATATGATTTAGGCTTCGGAGGCAATATCATAATTATTTTTTAAAAAATAAAGTATTATTTGCTCGTTCCCCTCACAAAAAAGCCCAAAAAGTAGGCTCAAATATCGGCCCACAAGAAATATGTCTCCTTACATCCCTACAATTTCACCGCGCCTAAATTTGGGTTATTTCCCTCTCAGATTATCATCGTTGGCCCACTGTGTGTGTTTCCTTTTCCTTTCAAACTTTT